GGATACCACCCATCGAGGGCGGGCGACATCCGGCCAGTCCTGCTGCGGTGTTCCCCTCGCCTTTTCCGTCAGCCAGTGCTCGTGCAGGACGCCTACGTGGAATCTGAATCGGGGGCTGTGCATTATCGCCGCCCACACATGGCGACAAAATAGCCCGAGAGTTTGGAGTGTGCGGCACTGGCAGAGATGGCTACCGTCGGAAAAGAGCAGGACGAGGTAGTCGAACGCCTTGCCATCACGCTGCTCGTGGATCCCGAAGACGTGGATGACGTCGCAAAGCTTGCCCTCGATGTACTCGAACGTGCATCCCAAAGCTGCCGCACGTTCTGGTCCATCCACCTCCCCACCACCCATCTGGCAAAACATGATGGCCGCGGTCATCTCTTGCTCCATGAACCGCCGCGGCCAGCCCGCGATGGAGAACTCGCAGGACTCGAGCACACTTTTGAAAGCGGTCGCTGGTGGAGCCACCATCCGATTAGGCGGCAGATGGTCGATGGCGTCACGCAGCATGGCGGCATCCTTCTGGCAACAGATGATGCCCGAAAAGTACTTCGCCACGTCCAAAAGCGTGGAGCGCGAGTTGTACTTATCCCTGATGAGGGCGTTTTGGCCTGCTGTGTGTGCGGCGGACAAACACGCAAGAAGCGACACACAAACCAAACCGTGGGTTAGTGATTGGTGTCATCAGACACCGTCGAAGTCGCAGTACGCCAAACGACTGAAAGAGCCGCCTATGACTTGACGCACCCATCGCCACAGATCTATGTAAACGTGAGCCGGATGATCGCAGTGCACCGACCAAGTACATCAATCCCGAACAACAGGGGTCGGACAACAGCCACATGTTTCGAAGAGGTCGTAAACATTAGCGGCATGTAGGGAGTTGTCTACTGGTCATTCACTGACGGCGTACGATAAATTCGTCAAGAAGCACTCACCAATGGCATAGTAAATAGGGGGCAAGGAAGATAGCCGCTCCCAACCCCTACAGACGTAGAAAAACTCCCCAAAACAACGACAAAGCTACATGCGCTGTCGTTCTCGAACAAAACGCTCATGACAGATGACACATAAACGCACCTTCAACTCTTGTATCGTCCACGAACCCACGGAGAACACCAGGGGGGACATATTCCGCCACCGTGCGCGGTCGTCATATACCACTCGCATGTACTTCTCCGCCTTCGGGTACTATTCGATGAGGGCGTTGAACTTCCGTTCGAACTTCGCCAATGACAGCTGCTGACGCACACACCTGAACTCGTCCATGAAAGGCTGCGGAAAACACAAACGACGTAGGCCGGGTGGGTGTTGCGTGAGTTGGGGCCTCGGCAATGAGCTACCGGTCTGTGCGATTGACTGCCACTAACAACCCCGTCCACTTCGTTAGCGTTAAGGCGAGACGAGGAGAGGGTTCGAAAAATTCAGCGACAAACCATTGGTGCTTACAACCTGCTGCTGCTGCTGCTGCTGCTGCTGCTGCTGCTGCTGCTTTCTCTGTGTGCACTGGACGTCGTGAGGTAAGTTTCCGTCGAAGCCGAGGTCTTCTCCGCATCACGGTCTACGCAGAGACGCCGGATATCACTCTTCCAAGTAGACGACAACGCCACTGATCCATGACAACGCACAACCTCGCACAGGGGATACAAGCGGGAGTGGGGGAGGGGGGCTAGAGTGGGCAGCGTACGTCGCGCGACCAAGACAATACGAGAGGCCAGACTAACCAAGCCAACACACACAGAAGAGCGCACCTTCATGTCCCCACCAAGGACTTTAGCGAGGGCCTTGATGATGTTCTGGTTGAGGTGCCATAATCAGCGCCTCGTNATATCACTCTTCCAAGTAGACGACAACGCCACTGATCCATGACAACGCACAACCTCGCACAGGGGATACAAGCGGGAGTGGGGGAGGGGGGCTAGAGTGGGCAGCGTACGTCGCGCGACCAAGACAATACGAGAGGCCAGACTAACCAAGCCAACACACACAGAAGAGCGCACCTTCATGTCCCCACCAAGGACTTTAGCGAGGGCCTTGATGATGTTCTGGTTGAGGTGCCATAATCAGCGCCTCGTCAGCGCGTCCGGGAACACCTCTCGCACCGCCGCCGTCATCGCCGCATCCGCGTCCTGGATGAAGATCCGGCTGCTTCCCCCCGCGAGACTCCAACGCACTCTTCAACATCCACAGGAAAGTGTCCGTTGTGGTGTCCGCCGTTATGCTTTGGCCGACGATCCGCGTCCGATACTCTGAATCGATGACAGCGAGCACACCGAGGGGCATCCGGTATCTGTTCTTGACGGCGGTGTCGTCGTAGAGCGCAACGTGACCGTACCGATTCCAAAGCGCCACCTGCGTATTTGGAGCATGACGCCGAAGGGGGTCGACAGCACTTAATTGTGGGTGTGACGTGTGTTTGACGCGTCACAACGCACCCCCACCCTTGCCTACGGCCTGCTTTCGGTCAGACGTCCTACATTTGCGGACGGCCAAGCGGTACGTGCGAGATGCTAAATGAAAGCAAACCTTCCGGCTGGGGAATATCCGTATGGGGCACAACGACCGGCCACCTACCTGCTCTCTCGTTTGCCACCAGCTGTGCGTCAGGCGGCCGCTGTCATCCATCTTGATCTCGCACACTCCGCCGTCGGCCCTCGCGGCCATGACCTGAAATTTCAACATGTTGAGCGCCCGGAACACCGAGGGCATCAGCGCAAATCCACGACGACGGCACCGCACACATTTTTTACCGCCAACATTTCTTGGTTTGGTGTCATGGGGCATATATTCTCCCGGCTGTAACCTGCGATCGTGTGTGTCTCGTCGCCTGGATACCGCCTTGAGCAAAACCCAACGTCCCACACACAAACAAGAGAGGCAACACTCTCGGACACATGGACACACCCCTTTGTACGCATCGGCGGCATCTCTCGGCTTCTCCTCCCCGTGCACAGTGGCAGCCGCGTTCTGCACCGCGCGCTTGTTGATGTCGATGTCGCTGTCCTCGTGCTACGCCTTCATTGTTTTTGTCACCTCTTTTGGCTTCATCCCATGACCTGCGCCGTATGGGAGAGCCGGGAGCACAAAAATAAGTGGCGTGTCACCGACAAACAGGGTAACAAGGTGGAGGCGACAGCAGTACCACGCTTCAAGGGCCGTTCGTCATGCGGCATCATGACTACCAACTATGACAAACCGTGGGATACGACGGGATCTACTGTAGACCTACTCCAATGCGTTCAATCTTCTCACTTGTCATCTGCTTCACTTGTCCCAGCTGCTCCTCCGTAGGTTTTGATGCGAGGCGAAGCTTGACGTCGATGGTCTTGCGGTCGACGCTGTGGTTGTGCGTGAGCTTCATTTTGCTAATCCTGGGCCACCTGTGGGACTTCGCGTGCCGGACGCTAACCTGAAATAACGGAACGGTGGGTCCACAATAAGGATAGAAGAGTAAAAATCAAACGATGGATACGTGGGATATGTGTGAATGTAATGGATCACAACATGGATCATGGATCACAAGACACCCGACCGACGCCTCCCCGACTTTAAATACGCAGTTCTGACATCTTCTTCAATCTCACGCTCAAAGACCTCAGACACCTGTTGGACCCTTTCTCCGTCCACTACACCAAGACATGTTCCGCGGTAGACCAGCTACGTACAGTCGTCCCCGCTTTAAAGACACTCTTCTAAAGGAAACTCCCCGCTATAAAGACACATTTTTCCCCAGAACATGGTGCCCCGCAGATGTACAATAATATAGGGGGGTAGCGTTTCCACTATGCGGTCCCCCCCAAAATTTTTGCTGGGGCAGCAAAACTGTAAGGCATTGTAACATCGACAGCGGTCTGCTGCAGCCCGCACTACTGCGTGTGGGTATGGAGAGA